TTTTCTTTTTGTATGTTGTATCTTATGCCATTAGTGTAGATGTGTTTGGTGATTTGGTGTTCAAACTTGGTAAAATATGTTATGGGGTTAGTTTGTTACAAGTGTGGGGTGGGTGGTACTTGAATTAGGTTATAGATGACATTTGTGGGAGGCCCTTGTTGCAAGACACTTAGAAAAGAGTTGTGAGAGCCTAATGCCTACAAGTTGTTTGTGGAAAGGCCTCAATGAGCATGATTATGTAGTTGTGACCAATTTGTCGTGTGAAGTTTGAGTAACCAAATTAAGTCACACTAATTTTGTTGGGCTAAGCTAATGTGTCCACATTTTGCAGGTATTATGGAACCATCGAAAAAGCACCAAGCCACGGGTCCATCCTCAAGTCGCCAAAGGGCAGCTCCTGCACGTCCCTATGACAACAACAAATTTGCCTCCCCTGAGGCTCAGACCCATTTTACAGAGAAGGCTACCAAGAACCAATTCCGGAGAGGGGCATTGACATCAAAAAGGTCAAGAAACGATGCCCCCACATGTACAATGAGTTGATGGAACCTTCATTGACGAGCCAGGGGAGGCTAATGTAATGGTTGTACGTGAATTCTATGCTAATCTACCAGAGCATGTCAACCATGTGGTCACAGTGCGCCGCAAGGCGGTGGATGCCTCCATTGAGGCGATACGCATAGCATATCAATTGCCCGACCCTCTGCCTGGGAATACTGACTTTTATGAATATGGGCGAAATCCAACCGATGCCAAGTGGGAGTGTTTCTTTGATGACATTTGCGTACCAGGAAAAATGGTAGAGTGGCTGGAACATGGAGAGAAGTTCCACTCCTCCGTTTTAACTCCAGAGGCAAAGAGCTGGCTGTATGTGATTAACAGTTGCTTTATTCCCTCCAAAAATACTACGAAGGTGAATGGACCCCAGGCTGCATTGATTTGGTGTTTCATCAAGGGTCTTCCCTTCGACATGGCCAAAGTGATCCACGACTAGATGTTTATCCGATGCCCCCAACGCCTATATGGGTTATTTTTCCCATCCTTGGTGACTAAGCTTTGTAGGAAAGTGCAAGTACCAGAAAATACTCATGTGGATAGGCTGGTAAGAAAAAGCTACAAGATCCGACCTGGAAAGAACACCTCGGGGGCAGCCCCAGCAGCAGCGGCAGGTGGAGAGGATAAGAGTGGTTCTGATGCATCGGAGGAGGAAGAGGAAGAGCAAATGGATGTGGAGGGCGAAGCGCAGCCCAGGCGCCCAGCGCAACAGCTGCATCACTGTCACGAGCAACGTCCTCTTCAGGGACTGCCAGAGTGTCCTGGCACACCACATTGGAGCAGGAGGTGGCTGGTCTATGCATCTCCATGAATGATTTGGGCACTCGTGTGGACGCGATAGCTGACCGACAAGTCAAGTCAGAAAAGAAGTTCATGGGTTGGCTGCGAGCTTTAGGGCGTGCGTGCAACGTGAACCCCGAAACCGTTTTCGATCAAGAGTGAAGCTTCAGGGAAGTCTCTTTACCTCACCGCTCTTTTAAGTTTTAAGCCATGGGGACATGTCTTCTTTTCTAAGTGTGGGGTGGGGGATTCCTTCATTGTATGTTGTATGTAGTTGTATAAATTGTCGGGTTGTTTTGTTTGTTTCATGTTGACTTGATAGTTTTTGTTAAGCAGGAGTAGTTTTTTTTTGTTAATTTAGATAAATGGCTCGGCCCGACGACAGATCCCTTTCGACGGGGTTCTTGAGGGACTGAGTCGAGAAAAAAAAAAGAAAAAACTAAAAAACTAGAAAAAAAAATGTAGGCTCTTCCTAATGACAGATCTTTTAGACAATTTTCTTGAGGGAAGTGAGTCTAGAGAAAACAACAAAAAGATTTTTTTTATTTTTTTCTTAGGTAGTGTAGCAATTCCCCCTTGGTTTTTCTTTAAGCCGCGGTTCTTTTCCAAGGGTTTAGCTTGAATCGGGCATAGGTAGTTTTTATTTTTGTTTTCTTTTTGATTTGTAGATTAGGGTAATGGGATACGAGCTATAAAATTGAAAGAGAACCCATAGCGTTGACACACTTGAACACAATAGACCCTAGAGTGTAACGCTTAGTCCTAATTGTTGAATCTCACTGAAAGTGCCTTAATTTGTATGTTTGTTACTGAATTGAATGCTCTTAATGGAGTGTCTTGATGAGCTGATCTGGAATGAGTCTTATGCCATATGTGGTGAGTTTTGTGTAGTCCATGTATTGTACTTGTGTCTAGAACTTGCCCGGTATGTGAGTTGAAGCGAAATTTTAGGTGATGCTCGGTTTGAAAAATGATGTTAGGCTTTCTTTGACCTTTTTGAGCTTAATTGCTTATCACAAATAAAATTTGTCCCTAGTTAACCCTTTTGAGCCTTTAGACTTTTGTTTGGCACCCGCATTACAAGCCTATACCATTTTGTTCTTAATTGACATTGTTTCGATCCTTTTACCTCTTAAAGCACTTCAATTGTGAGAGAAGCGCTAAAAGAAGTAAGAAGAAAATAAGTGTGGGGTGACTTTTGAGTGGAACCAATAAAAGAATGAAAGGTGCACTATTATTGTAAACGAATACACCACTTGCAGAAATTGAGTGACAAGAAGAATAAACTGGAAAAAAAAAGATGATTACATTGTGTCTTGTTCCAGCTAGTGGGAATGAATTAATAGAGTGCTTAAAGAAGAAAGGAGTATTTGTGGGATGATATTGTGTGTGAATGAGAAGTGGGTTGAAGAATTTGTGCTAAAAATTGCTCATGTGATGTGTTAAAGTGCTTAGGGGTTGAGTCACTATTCCTAAATACATCTTACCCGTCCCTTAGCCCACATTACAACCATGAAAAAGTCCTAATTGATTTT